AAAGTAGCTCACCTTTTTCAGCCTTTAGGAGTAGGAAATTAAATAAGGGATCGCGGCAGCAAAAAGAAAAACAGAGGAAAAAAGAATGTGAGAAAAACATCGCCTCTTCCCTCGGCGATTAGCTGATTGTGCGTGGGTCCTAAAACGAATAATAGCAATCTGTATTGTCTCGACACTCGTCTAACGTGACACCGATGGACTGGCGGGAAAGCGAACTACGGCAACAACGGGGCTTCCACTATGCCCTGAGCGCCGAGATTTTGGGAGCGAGAGTGTCCCTTCTACCACCCATGGGGGCGCTGAGTATTCCTGAAGGAAGAACTCAGTAACCTTTTTTATCGTGAACCGTGCCTTTAACCACTACTCATATATTTTAATTGTTTTTCATCTTCCCCTTTTCACTGATGAGCTCGGGGTAGATGAAATCGAAGTGATTCGTCTGATTCTGAGGCGAAACGAGTTACACACAATTAATTAATAAACATTTGATCACGAGAACTTTTGTTTCTTTCTTTTTCATTGTAGTGTCGTGCCGCGAGAGGAGATGCGTTGTCTGTGGAATTCTGCGTCCGTTGCATTTAATTTCACCGTAAAGTCACTGTAAGTGTTGAGTACCTGTACCGAATTTTCGTTCCTGTTCACGAATCGTAACAGTCATATAAGAACAATTGGCTGAACACCACCTTCTGTATTGATACTTCTGTGCAATTTATGAATGGATGGAACCCCGTGGGACACATACTGACCAACAACTAATCAGTGACATTTTTAATCTTGTCAAAGGCACCGTTCACGTCAAAAATTGGTTTCTAAGATTTTTTCCTCTCATGAATCTGTGGCCCCAGAGATAGCCTAAGTGACGCTGTCGGGTCTAAAAACGAGCAAGATAGGGAGTAATAAGAAAAAGCTATGCCGACGTACATACCAAAGGCGGATGAGTTGATGAGTTCATGAGCGTTGTTAAAGTTGTAGAGGGTGCACCATTCGCACCGGGACCCACACCTTGCACGCAGGCGGCTGCTTTGGGTAACGGAACTTCTCCCCGATCGCGGCATTCTCCCTTGCGGCATGCGGCAAATGTCACTGCAATTACCGTACTCACCCCGCCTCCCCGCTAATCGATAGGACGCAATGTTTTTCGTTGGTTGCCTTGCTTTTTTATTAAATTTGATCATTTTTTCCGTTTCTTTCGGGTTTTCGTGTTAATTAGACTTGGTTAATTAGTCCTATACTCCTCCTATATTAGCGTCGATCAAGTCCGCAATGGAATTCAAGAGAGCGGCCAGCCAATTCAAGTAATTAAAAGACTCCCTATCTCACAAATTGCGCGCTCCAATCTTCCA